TATACCATGAGTGTTATTGAAACGCCTAAACCACCTACAGAATTAATCTCTGGACTCGAGCTGACAAGGGTTTCTTTACACCTTTACATCTTCCTTTGAATCATGCTGTTCCTATCCCAGGGACCACATGCAAATGGCGTTAATTCCACCTATGACAATGAACCCAGAATTTACAGGGTGCCTTTAAAGGTCTGAATTAGGCCAGTAAGAAGTGTAAATCTCTGTGGAATTTAGACAATCTGAACAGATCATGAAGTGTTTATCTGACGAAGTAGTAGAAAGGAGTGCTTATCACTTTAGATAACATGCCGTTTGAAATATCTATGGTAGTTTTCAGCTGCACTTCAAAATACTTAATAACTTCATATGGCCTTTTGGGCTGAAGTATTGTATACATTACCTCTTCAGAAGGGAAGTAAGAGAGATTAAAAGTATGATTCAAAACTAAGCACTTCAAGTAAAGAGATGTTTACTTTATTTTCCCAGTTACGTTATTCTTATTTATGCATGTTGAAGATGTTGGGCACACTGGTGATAAAGGGTATGAATTGAAAGTACACAGACTACCTTCACTCTAGCACACTCTCAGTTTTCAGCTCACATAATTTGAAGTTTATTTGCTTCCTTCTGCATATTTTCTTTAAGGTACTTTCAAATTACGGTACTTGGCAATTGCTGCAATTATCTCTCTCTCATCTGGGCTTTGCAGCCCCAGGTGCTGTGGGACAGGTACCACACACTCAGCATAGGAGGTACTCTGGCCAAGTATTGTATCCACAGGGCATTACTAGCTGACATGCTTGGCCCTCCTATTCTCTCACTTTAGATTGGAAGAGAAAAGTACCAAGTGTGTCTATGGTGTCTATAAGAGCAGAAAGGGTGTCTGAATGAGCCATTAACTGATTAGAAGGGGAAAATCCAGCTGAGCCAAAGTCAGTAATGTGAGAAAGAGACCAGGAGGCAGAGTAGAGCCTAGATGGTCTTGCCTTCTTTCTTCTTCTTCTTGCTCCTTTCCCCCGTCTGCTGCTCCCAGAGTGCCAGTCATGTCCAGGTGGTTCTGGTGTTATCCAGGCAAAATTCTTTGGAATGTCTACTATTAAGGCTTTCTGAGGATGTGGCACATAACAGCAGGAGGAGGGTGATGTGATGGCAACATTTTGCCGATTATGTAAGAAAGATAAAAAAGGATGAAACACTCAACCTTTATTATGGCAAGACTGATTGGAAATCCATGTGACAAAGAAAACTTGCTTCTCCCTCCTGAAGCTAAAAGCTTGCAGGAAAACTTTTCCAGAGAAGATCACAAGAACCACTTGCAGAATGTGACAAACAATCTAAAGCTTTTTCTAACATAGATAAATATATCATAGAATCATAGAATGGTTTGGGTTGGAAGGAACCTTAAGATCATCTAGTTCCACCCCCCCTGCCATGAGCAGGGACACCTCGCACTAGGCCATGTTGCCTAAGGCTCTGTCCAGCCTGGCCTTGACCCCCACCACGGTTGGAGCATTCACAACTCTCTTGGGCAACCTATTCCAGTGCCTCACCACCCTCACTGTGAAGAACTTCTTCCTTATACCTAATCTAAACTTCCCCTGTTTAAGCTTAAACCCATTACCCCTTGTCCTACCACTACAGTCCCTAATGAAGAGTCCCTCCCCAGCATCCTTGTAGGCCCCCTTCAGATACTGGAAGGCTGCTATGAGGTCTCCACACAGCCTTCTCTTCTCCAGCCCCCTTATCATCCTCCTGGCCCTCCTCTGGACTTGCTCCAACAGCTCCATGTCCTTTTGATGTTGAGGACACCAGAACTGGACACAAGACTCCAAGTGAGGTCTCATGAGAGCAGAGTAGAGGGGCAGGATCACCTCCTTTGACCTGCTGGTCATGATTCTTTTGATGCAGCCCAGGATACGGTTGGCTTTCTGGGCTGCAAGCGCACACTGAAGCCGGCTCATGTCAAGCTTCTCCTCAACCACCACCCCCAAGTCCTTCTCCGCAGGGTTGCTCTGAATCTCTTCTCCGCCCAACCTGTAGCTGTGCCTGGGGTTGTGACGACCCAGTTGTAGGACCTTGCACTTGTCTTGGTTAAACTTCATGAGGTTGGCATCAGCCCACCTCACAAGCGTGTAAAGGTCCCTCAGGATGGCATCCCTTCCCTCCAGTGTATCAACCGAGCCACCCAGCTTGGTGTCGTCGGCAAACATTAAATACATGCAGTCACCAAGCATCACATTTTTAATTTCTGTGTATAAGCCACATCTTTGCAATAAATTATTGCTCCTTAGTTAAAGCATAAGGACCTGACCATTCTGTGAACCTGCAGACAATTTGGCTCCAGAGTCTTTCAAACTTTACCGTAACTTGCCTTGAAGAAGTAAAAGATACAAATGTTATTGCCTTGGAAAAGTGAGATCCTGAACAGATACTGAAGAACCCTCATAGAAAAAATACTTGCATTTCCATACTTATAATGCAAATTCTTTAGAATTTAACTGTAAAATAGACATACATTTGAAAAAGAAGAGAACATCCACAATAAGACATGTATTATGCAATTTCCACAAAGCCATCATCTTACATTTTAGAAAAAGCCTTGCAAATTACAATAATTCTAAAAATCAAAATAGCTTAGCCAGCTGTTAAAGAGGCAGATACACTCATCATTACTGAATGCTTTACTGCTTTAAACATATATAATTCCAAAATAATCTCCTTGAAATAAATACAACAGCCACAAAACATGCTGGAAATTGAAGACAGAGCAAGCAGTATTTTTTGTATTAAAACTCTGACAAAATACATTTTAATCTTGTCCGGTCTTATGAATTCTGAAACAACCTGGAGTGCCATTTGGCCTTCATGATTAATGTGTACTTTATCATTGTAAACAGGGCTTCCTGAACATTCTATAAAGTCCGCTTTTTGAATCAACGTTTAAACAATCAGCATTGCCCCTTCTCTCCTTTAATGTTGTGGTGGTTGTGTGCAGATTCTAAATAAGGTGTAAGTTACCAGGATGTTTCACGTTAAGTAGAGAAGATTAATTTAATCACAGAAAAAAAGCTGGAATTCTGAATGGCCTCAGTATTGCCTTTGTTGACTTGAACAGCAGAATTTGTGCTCTCCTTATCCATCTCGGGAATTTAAGTTTTATGTGACATGGCTGATGTGTTGATCAATAAAACAACAACAATCATTTACACTGCAAGTTTAGTGCAGTTTCAAAAATCTGCATTAACCAAGCTGGTAGTTGTAGCAGAATCAATAGACAAGGCATCTTGCTTAGTGGTGTGCGTAAATGAAGTATGACCAAACTTTTAACACCCAACGAATATAGATTAAGATGATAAAATCCATATGCAGAATGAGTTCTGCAAGCTCTGCAATGACAGCGTGCTTGAGAGCGTAATGCACAATAAAATGTTGTAGATATTAAGAAATTCTTACTTTAATTTTCACTCTCTGCTTCACTCAGTATTTACATTGTGAGTTTGCAGTCAGCATTCATTTTAAGACCTGTTGCAAAGGACCTCAGTGAATTTGCTGCTGTGTGTTCATCTGTCAGTTCTATAGCTTCTTGTTACTTTAAATCTTCCCTCCTATTTTCCTAACCACTCATCCCCTCATTTGGCATACTTTAAATCTCTTAACTAGCTCCTTTTTACTGTCAGAAGTTTCTGACATGTTACTACTGCTGTAGGAGTCAATCATCTTTAGTTCATGATGCAGATAAAAGGAATGAATCTTTTTTTATTATTATTATTATTAATGGTCTAATATGTTTGTGTTTAAACAACGATTCTAACTGGTATTATTTTAATCCATATGCTTGAATTCAGAATGACCACATTATAGCTTTGTGAAATAAAGTAAGACAAATATCATATCATTCTGTTTCTAATCTAACCTGCTAAATCAGTTTCATTAAATCTACTTTAATCACTTCCTATTTTTTTTTTCTCAGCTGATTCAGAGTTACTCAAAGTCTTACTATTTTTTTTTTTAAAAGTTTTTTTTAATGACCAACAGGATGGCATTTCCTACATACCTAAATCTACATACATATAATATATACAGCAGCTATAAGTATGTTGCATAGCAAAAAAAGAACAAACCACTTATTACATGAAACATTGTATATTCTGAAGAAACCCAAAGAACATTCATTTTCATTCAAGCATATATGTGTTTCCGAAAGAGAAATTACCGAAGACCTTAGCATCACAATGAAAATAATTGATAGTCATGCACTACAGATGGAAACTTCCTCCAGTACGAAAGAATTCACCTTTTTCAATGATATATGGTTAGCAAAAGGAAAACATCCTAAACCTCTGAAAAATCTGTATTTCTCTTATCTGTATTTCCATTTATTCACAGTACTGAGCTCATTACTGGTTCACATTCAAAATAATCTAGCCATTCCTTGTTTTCATCCCTTAAAAGGAGACATCTTTTATTCTAATCAATGAAGGACTTAAACAGTACCATGTATCTGGCAGTAAAATAAACCTCTGCAAATTGGAAATTCATTAACAGGTACCATATAACGCTAGAGAACCCAAGCTACTGGTTTTCCAGGTTGATTCTTTTTTCCCCTATTTCTGCTATCATGGTCAATTAAATGTAAATACTTTATGAATGTTACAGTACATATTGTTTAAACGGGCTAACTTACTAGGAGTTTATTATCTTAAATCTGTGAAGTAAACAAGAAGACTGAATATTAAAGACAGTAGCTCAGCATAAAATATATGATATGCCCTTGAACTTATAACACTGCAGTAAGCAATTACCTTAAAGAAGCCACTCACACAACAGAACTATGACTTTGTTCCTTATCTTCAAAGAATAAGCCACTTGCATCTGGATCAAATCCTTTAAACAATACATGAACACTCAACATCAAAGCAGCTTCATTTTCTTTAGCTATTTAATTTAATTAGAGCTAATACAGACATGAATTTAGACACTGATTGCTGTGTAGAAAAAACCCAGAAAACATGTTCAAGAAATTAATCAATTTGGTTTTAATTTTAAAAAGATTTTTCCACCAGTACCTGACAGGAGCGCCTCTACTCTGTGCAGGTTTCAGCAAGACTGTCACAGTACTGTCAGTTTGATTCAAAGGTGTTTCAAGTTCATATGGTGGCATAGAGGGTGCTAGAATAAGAAAAGAAAAGAGGCAGAAATAATTATTATTCCTGTATTTCTTCTTTCAAGAGCTGTATCTTTATTTGAATAGGTGATTTTAAAGACTTCTTCAAATACAATGACCATATTATAGGCCTAAGATGCTTTCTGTTTACAACACAAGTGTGAGACCACTGTTAAATAACTTCGAGGAGGTGGGGAGGAGAAAAAAAGAAAAACCAAACAAAGAAATTTTGTCTCACTGCCAATTTCAAGACAGGAAACAGACACTAGTAGGAGTAAGTTTGCAGTAAGTATTGAAAGTCCACGACTTGGAAACAGAAAAGTTATCTCAAGAAGAGCATCTGCGAATGTGCATGCTGAAGTGACTGTAGTTTTTGAAAGAGAGCCCAGCTTTCTCAGTATGTCAGTTGTATCGGGATGCACTCTCAGAATTTGTCATGCCTGGAATTTTAACTAGTGCTGTAACTGTCCTGGGCCCATTACCCACCACAGACATAATTTACAATAATGAAGCAGGATTACCACCATGAGAGTGTATCTTCGTTTGAAGCCATACTCAATGGTAGTTTTGCAAACTATGTCTTCATTAAGGAATTACAGTTGGGATAAAACCAAACGATGCCTCAGTTATTGTCTTTTACTGTTGCTACTTTTTTCAGTGCTATCGTCTAGTCACATTTTATCATCATATTGGATGGAAGGCTGCTTGCTTAATTGGTTGTTTAGCAGCCTGTTGTATCCTTAGAGTCCAGTTGTTAATGATGATACACAATTAACAGATTAAAAAGCTACAGCAGCAAAAAGCTGTCATTGCAATGATCTTTTCTGACCACAAGAATAATGCTGGGCAGTGAACTTCCCTAAACTAATTCATGCTGAAAAAGAAAATACATTTGGCAGAGGACAAGATCTTTTTTTTTAGCAGGTTCTTCCAATGGTTAATTATAGTCCATGATGAATATGGAGACCTATTTGGCATCTCAATTTGTTTAGCTTAATCTTCCAGCCACTGGATATTTTGTGTACCATACTGAAGAAGTCACTTAAAGTATGCTCCGCATACACATAGCAACCTGTGGGCCCCTATAGCAAATTAAATAGCTGCAACAACATGAGTCTTTCTTTCAAGTGTATTTTCCAGTCTTTTTCACTTTCCCAGCAGTAGCTGCATCTACTTGAAAGGCATATGAACTCTCTCCATTATCCATATTGCCTTACATATCCAAGTATGCCGTGAAAACATTAACAACACTTTCACTGCTTTTCATTGATATTCACCAGTCTTGAAATGCTTTACAAATATAAAAATTAATGTTCAAAAACGTCCTTGTAAGATGAGAGGGTTTTATTCTGCTTGCAATCCTGGATATAAGGTACAAACATTTAGACTAATCATTTTAAGTAAATTGGGTACCCACTTTGAGAAGCTTAATGGTATATTATACAGTACTTTAAAGATTCAGACACAATTTTCACATATTTCAGTTTTGCAGTTTTGAATATCCAGAATTTGTTCACACAATGCCCCATTTTCAAGTTGGCCATCCTGAAGAAAATAAGGGAACCACAGAGTAAGTGCACCTCCAAAAAGCTGTGTGGACTCTTAATGTTTTTGGAACACTGCAAGTGTCACTTCTTGCCTTTGGTCTCCTGCGCACATTTTAACAAGTCCTGTAATCTTCCTAATTTATGTCTCCTAGGTCCCTACTTGCACTCCAAATCAATCTTAGTGTCTCTCCACCAAAACTGTCTTCCTGTCCAGAGTATGAGTTGTGGTTCTCCAAATCCCACTTTTTAGTCCTGGCTGTTTTCTCTTCACCACATATACTTGGACATTATCTGTTCTTCCACTTTTCTCCTGCTAGGTTAGGACTATTCCTCCTCCACACTGCCCACATGTAAAGAAGGAGCAGAGAAAACAGGAGATATTTTTCCTGTCCTCAGTTTTTGCAACTGCATGCCCTCGTCTTTGGCAGCAGAAAGCTCAGATGCACTAAAAGGTAACGCCCTTATAGACTATCTGTGTTGGGCCACACTGAGTTGATGAACACACAGGCAAGGCTCTCAAAGCTGGGAGAACTTAAATCTATTCAGTAAGTATGGTATCTATGGTAATATTTGCTGCCCAATTCTGAAACTTTCCACCATTTATGTGCAAACTGTAACAATTACAAATTGCCCAAATCTAGACAGATTTTCAGAGTGATGGTCAAGGTTAATGTCCCTCTTCTTGCTAAATATTTAAATCCCAGTTTGGAAGCACTTCAGTAATGTATCAGTCACCAGAATTTTTCACAATGTCAGCCACGTTTCTCAGATGGATGAAATTCTTCTTAGTATGAAAGGCAGCATACAAAACTTCAGCCCACACTGCTGACTTCACAAAGTTACATGCAACAGAAAACAGTCTTCTAATGGAGTGCCCATCATTTCTGATAGCATGCACTGCTACCACCTCTGCTTTTGGTAATACATATTTACACACAGATCACTTCATCCATCAATGCCAATCACACAACTGCAGAATGAAATATGCCAACTATTTACAGTACTGAATAGTACTATTCAAACACTTAAGACAGGAAATTAAGAGTATCTTATACAAATGAAAATACAGTCTGGAGTTAGACAAAGTAAAATGCAATGACTCAATCTAGAAATTGGTCTGAATGCACTGTTGCCACCTCATCTGTTCTAATAAATAGCAAACCCTTTAATTCATAAATGTTCAGTGGTCTTGTTTCACATCTTTCCAAAATGGAGAGCACTGGCCACATCAAGAGCCTCAAAGCTTTACAGGAAAACAATGAGATCACAGGCCAACAGCACTGCAAAGAGGATACCATATTCAACAGCTAAAATTTCAGTTGTGATTTTTCAGTGAGACTAAGAAATACACGCATTCTGCTTCTATTTTAAATTCCCCAGGAGACTGGCTTTAACTACCCATGGACAAGTCATAAACATTCCCTGTTAGTGAAGTAACTAACACGAAATAATGAGAGAGTGGGCTGCAGACAAGATAGCTTGCAAAACCTTGCCACATGGTAACCTGGAGGTTATCCTCATTCCCAAACATGCCTGAAATGTCTGTTTGCACCATTGAGTTTTAGTTGGGGACATATAAAATTTAGAAAAGAACAAAAATTTAAGATCCAGAACTATTCCCAAATGTTCAGATTATCATCCATTCTCAATAGTCTCCTTCCTTCCTTCCTCATTGTAATACGAGATGATTCTGCTATCTTAACTCCTATCAAGTCTTGGTGTGTCAGAAATTGATTTCTGACAGAGAGAGATTTTGCTCAGTATAGGAAAGGGGATGAAAAATTAATCCCATCTTTACTGATCACTGTTAATTATGTTAAGACTTCCTATAAAGAATTATTTTGTAACTTGAAAATTACCAACTAACTTCTGTATTGGCAATAATTTCCACCTTGCATTAACTGCCCTTTCCTATAATAAGAAAAAATAAATTGCTCTATCTCTGATTAACACTTGTTACTTGTTTTCATTCCAGTGAGGACAGTAAACGAGTGATGTGGACAAGCACACAGAATGAGAGCAAAAGAGAAACAAGATGTTGCACCCAAATGCTTTCCTCTATCTTTTCTGAAAAGCACAGTTTACCACAAATAGATAAGGCAATTTTCTATAAATATTATTAAGGGGCCATAGTTCAACTGTCAGTTTAATTCCCAAGAAGACTGTAGAGAAGTGAAGAGTAAAAGGATTTCAACTGAAACTTTGCAAAACATTTTGTCATCAATTACATAAGCATTTTAGAGGACGTAATAGTATTGCGTCCCATGAGCTAGAGAAATGAAGTGTTCCTCTGCCTCTGGGAGGGCTTTAAAACATTGCTGGTGGATTTACAGAAGTGACAATGTCATGCTGCTGCTATTTGAAAACCAGTAGTCCTGATGTTCTTGTCTAATACAGTTTCATATCCACTTCAGTCCACACGCCTGCTAGGAACATACTCAGACGGCAGCTAGCTACACTTTCTAAGTGAGTGCTAGACATACAGTATTTCTGCTCTACTCTCAATTGTTCATGGATCATTGAAGAGATTTTCCAGCACCGTTACTGTACTAATTTAGAATCATGTCAAGGCTGACTAAGCTCTGAATGAAACCTTCATCCTCATGTCCAAAAAACCCTATGCTAAATGTTGCAACAGCAGCTGGCACTGACTGCAGGCACATAATTCATAGGGTTTCTTGGGTCATAAGTTACACTTGTGAACAGGAATTTCAAAGTACTAGCTGATATTTAAGCACTTGGAAGTTTTTCAAATATGTTAATACACGTCATTTTGCCATCTTCAGGTCTGAACATGTATTTTACTTCTTCAATTTGCTGCTTGTTAAATCCTAAAGAGGAAGTAAACAACAAAAGAATTACCCGTGATATTATCATAAGCAAATTATAATAGTCTTTAATCGAGTACCTGATATTTTAGTGGTGAACTGATTTGTGATTGGAGGTCCAAAGCCCTTAGCTGTGCTGGCTCTAATGGTGAAAGAGTAGGTAGTGCCAGGATACAGTCCAAAAAAGAGATAGTGCGTTTCATTTCCCAGCTTTGAGACTCGTCCACTTTGATTGGACAAATCTATTTCTGGGTCAAAGGAACTGACTGCTTTGTAGGTGATCTGCAAAAGAATAAGAAAGTTATAAACTACCTTGAACAGATGGACAGAGATTGCATCTTTATCCAGTAAACCGTTCAGATGTATGCGCTGTCAGACATTTCATGACAAGCTATCTTATTCTCTTATACTCTTCAAATTCCAAATCCCATGAAGGGACACAGAAATTCAGCTGTAACTGGTATGAGTTATTACTTTTATAGATACAGAGACTTAGCGGCAGCTAGATTACAACTCTAAAGGATGGGCTAAGGCTTACATTAATTCCTTCAAGATGCTGGCTTTAACAGTGTCATTTTTTGAATTCATCTTCCTGTTGGTTTCAATCATTAACAACAGGAAAACCAAAACAACCAGGTAAACAGATAAGCGAATAACAGAAGGTGTAGCCCCCAGTTCCAGCTGACCTCAGTATAATTACACTTTGCTTTGAATAACATTATCTGTAAAGGATGATAAGGGCAGCTTAAGGCAAACTTTTCAGGAAGTGGGTAAAGCTTCTATTTTAGTCTGAAGCTTAGCTATTGTAATTGCTAATTTGGAATTTTTCAGGTTATTACATTGTACCTAGGTCAGATACTCATTTGGAGGAAAGGCAAGATAAAATGTTAAGTAATATATGCAGAGTGTACATTGTATCCTCAGCTCCTTCTCTGATTCAAACAGCATTTTCAGTTTTCATTAGAAATGTTAATATAAGTTCACAGTAAAATTTGATACAGATTTCTTCTATTAATTACTAATTTCTATGCACTGTAATGAGAATTTAAAAATAAGAAATCCATTAAAAAAGTAAAAATGATTTATCCCTCCTTTTTAAAGTTTCATTTCTATGCAAATAATTCCAAACACTTTTATTATACAAAGTGATAACTGACACTCCTTTAGGTATATTTATTCAATATCATTATAATTAATAACACATGTAAGACAGTACATAGAAATATCTAAGTGTTGGAATTACACACCTTAAACACTTGCAATTTCCTAGAACCTCTGACTTAATGAAAATTGATTTTTATATGACCCATCTAACATAACACCAATAAAGTGCTGAAAATTAGTAATAAAAACTTTGATACCACCTAGATAAACCCCAACATTATTTCAGTAGATATAGGCAGATTGTCTACAACTCCTCATCCATAAACTGCACTGCAAGTGCCTTAAAAATGGCTCAACTAACTCTCCTAATTATGACAGAATATTACATTACCAAATATTTGAACTTTTATCAGTAAAGAAATAAAGGTTCCATATTGCCCAAAATAATCTCCCTTTCTGATGACAACTGATGTTATGTCTGCTTGTGGGAGAGTGGCTCAGAACTTTCTTTAGAGATTTTAAAAGACAGGTTGAACAACTGCATCACAACTATGTTTTATACACAGTTGATCCTGTTTTGCTGCAGATACGTGAACTAAAAGATGTCTTTCAGCTCCCTTTAACTCTGTTTTCTGTATTTCTAAGATTCTTAACTGGAATTTCCAAAATCTCACTTAAGTTTTACTCAAAATAATACCAGGCTATTGGAGACTCCACAGTCTATGTTAGATTCTTAGAATTTTTCTGCAGCATTTAGTTATTAGATAGCTGAGAGCTGATGTTCTGGAATGATGGATGAACAAAACGGGCACAAGGGTCATTTTCTTACTGCATCCTGACTATTTTTATCAAATTGAGATGGAACCTTGCCCAAAGAACTAATCGCTTTATTCCTACAACTGTGGATCTGTACTGGTGCTAGAGGAGCAAAATGGTATAATTTGTCATTATGTCATTTCTTCATCTAAAGGCTTTGTTCTTTAAATATTGGTAAAATAATTAGATTTGCACATAATTTCACAATAGCAATGAATACTTTAATATTTGATATTTTAACAAACTTCTAATATATGTGATAGCCACATTTATTAAAAGACTGTCTCCTTCAGGCCCTAAAAGCAAATGCCTGGCACCACTAGGTTAGTGCTCATCTGATAGACCATTCTCTGAAAGGTGAATGCCAAGGGCACTGTAGTTTTCATGAACATACCAAATACGACATGTTTGTGCAAGAGCATCTTAAGTGGCTGTGCTTTTCAGATCAGAATATTTGATGTACACACAACAAGTCATAGGCAGGAGTTAAGACAGCTCACTTCTCAAGCTTAGATTATTTGGAGCTGTCCTGGATCCACTACCTTGACAGCACAATGATCAGCCAGAGAGGTGCCTACTGAGACATCATGAATAGTCTAAACCTATCTATAAACCACAGGTACATAAATTTCATCTAACTTGTCTGGATCTTACCCTGTCACCTGCTTCAGTTAGCTAAAATATGCCTCAAGTATACTTTTATATTTCACCTCAAGTATACATTTCAAATAGATGAAATGTCCCCAGGAATCACTGTGTATATTTGCTGGCCTCTGGGTAGTTTAGCAGTCATATTTATAAAACCTTTGTGATACATTTTAGGCTTATAAGCAAACACCAGGGCAGAAAAAGTATTGACACATAAGCTTTCAGCAACTATGTGTCTGTTCACCCGACTGGACTACGTCAGCATCTTTAAAACAAGGGACAGTTTGGTTGTATCAGTCTGTTGGCATCTTTTACTCAAAAAGTGATTAAATCAAGTTTATGATTTAACTGTTTGCCTTGCTCCCTCAGTCTCTGCTTTGAGGTGTATTAGACAACCAGTATAAGGAGGTATCAGCGTTTACTTTTCAATATTCTGTTCACTGTTGGAATGATAGTTTCTTTTGACTTGCACAGTCCTGACTACCTTAAAAAGTCTGGCCAACCTATTCTTTTCCATCTCTGAATACACCTGCACAACTGCCATTACAGATGATAGACTTCTGTACGTATATAAATTACAGAATGAACTGCATGTATACAGAGCATATACTCCTCAGCAATGTAATTAGACATGCATGCATGTTTGTAAGTAGAAAGATGATTCATCAATGCATGTGTCTATAGCCTAACATCAGTAAGAACATTAATATATTAACTAAAACATTCTGATCCCTGAAGATAGGCAACTGTTAAACTAGCTGGAAAGTAGTTAGCTTTATAAAAAAATCAATTCATACTTTTTCATAACATTTTATCCTCTTACAATAAAGTAGTTTTCAAAACAGTATCAATAGGTTACCATTCAATTTAACTTTTCTTTTACACAGTATCTCATTTAGGTGTTTTTTTTTTTAAACAAAGCATTTCAATACCAATTTTGTAGTAAGGTCAGGTAAGAAGCTTAACAGTGATTACTGTCTGACAGCTTAATCTGTGCAGTCTTTTGTCAATTTTTCTAAAAGGTATTCAGGCAGAGGTTCTACATGAGGAAAAGCAGTGATTTTTAGACATCTAACAACATACAATTTGTTGAATTTGCATTTAAAAAATGTTAGGGGATTTTTTTTTTAATTATGCCTGCTTGTTTCTATTACAATAGGCTCCCTGTAATGAGTCTTATCTAAATGTGATGTTGACTGTCACCACTGTGTAATGCCTCCTATTTTTTAAAAAATTCACTAAGATCTCTCTTTCAATCTTTATAATATTTGATCCACATTACTAGGTAGAATGCTGTATCACATGCTTCTAAAAATATCAGGTTTCTTAAAGCTGATAACCCAGGGACATTTTGCTTCCTGCATAATTCACTCCTACATTATGTATGTGATTTTATTACTTTGTAACTGGTACTATCTTCAAAAAGAAGATTCATTTTACATAAACTGTAAAAAATAAAAAAAAAAAAAAAGAATTTCTTACAAATTATGCACTTTTGAAAGCAAAACTATACATAAAAATTTAAACATGGGAAATTGCTAGGTACCTCATACAGAGTAATTACACCATATGTTTGCGCTGGCTCTCTCCACTGAAGAAAAATCTTCTCTTCAAAGGTGCTCCCTTGAATGGATTCAAGTGGCACAGCACTTGGCACTAATGGATAAAAAGAGGAAAAAAAGATCTTTTGAGAAAAATTTCAGAAGGAGAAACTCTGCTTAATATTTGGGCTGTTGAGGCATAAAACCTGTCCCATTATTATTTCCCCAAGACTGAAGCAAAGGCCAGGACAGCTCAGGAGGAGAATGATTAATTTAACAAGACTATGCTGTAAAGGAAACCTGTGTCACCTTCAGCGTAAGAAGGAATTAGTGAGCATCACACTTTTCCCATAAAACACTACTGATGAAAGAAAAGGACAAATTAGTGTTTTATAAGGAATTAGGCAATATCTCAAATATAAATTCCTGTAAATAAAATCTACTCGTGATACTTACTTATCAACAGTGTTACTGTCCCACAGTGAACAACATAGCAAACATTCATATATAAAAATGGACAAGTATTGAAGTAACAAGGTACAGTTTCAACAGACTGAACTGGAATGGTTAGCTTGGAAAGATGAGCCACATGTTGAACAGAACAGTAATGCTCACTGACATTAGACCCAAAGGCCTACAACAGGGTGAATGTAAGGAAAATACAAAGCACCCAAACCAAAAACCTAACATTATTCATTTTTCTTAAAAGTCTCTTAATTTATGAGAATGAGCTCTGAAGAGTCAGGGCTGTCAGATCACTGTCAGATATCCGTTTCTGTTACTGTTTGTTCTGCAACAATCTCCTTATCCCTCAGCCAACCTCAATACAGTTTTCAGAGAAGATGTGTAAACAGCACATGGACACGTATTTGCAATCTTATTTTTGTAACAACAGTTGCAATGGAATGTGAAAAGAAAATCCTGAAAAATGCACACAGGACTGTTGTGAGGCAACAGGCATCGATGGGTTAGCACTCTTCCACAAACTGCGTGAAAATACAGTAAGAACATGCACTTAACATTTTCCACACGCTAGAGAAAGAAGGTGGAAACTACTTGCTACAGTGGTTGAAATACCTTCTCAGACCCCTTACTGAGATTTACTCAAATGGTTAAATAGGAAGATCTGCAAACAAGACAACTGGTGACTCCTTCCCATCACTAGGTCTGGTAGAGCAGTATCCTCCTCCTACTGCTCCATGTTGTTGGTCTGGGAGTTTACATAGTTTAACTTCATAATCGTCTCTCCATAGCTCTCCATAGAGTCTCTTGCTCTACCACAGGGAAGCTCCAAGGGCACAGGTGATGGTTTTTGAAGTGGCTTACCAGTCTTGTACGGACCAGTAAGATTACGCCTTTAGGGCAACGTTAAGTCTGGGCACTAAACTTTGCTTCCAAGTAGCAAAGAACTGGCAAAATTCAAATGGAATCATGGGGCTAATGATTTATGTGTAAAGGGAGAGGCATTAAATACAGTGTAAGTATGTTGAAGGTATAACAAAACACTGTGGTAAGTCTCTAAAATTATCTGAAGGCCATGAAGTCTGAGCAGTTCTGCTATGAGAAACACGAGGTCAAACACTGGCAGAGGTTACCTAGAGAGGTTGTGGGATATCCACCTCTGGAGAGGCTCAGAACTCAACTGCACAAAACCTCAAGCAATCTGCTCTCACTTGATTTGCTCTGAGAAAAAGGTTGGACTAAATGAGCTCTGGAGGTCCCTTGCAATCTCCATGATTGTGTGAGTTGAAAAATTATGATGGTTATTTGGGTCGGTATACTCTGTTGTCTTACATCCAGATTTATGTACCTTACTGGAGGAAAGGTACATAACCTTAGAGTATACAAAAAGTTGTCATTTTTGTCCAAGGTATTCTCTCAAGCACTGGTGCTGGTTCTTAATAGGTCTTGGAATAATATAAAGTTCCAGAGGGCCAGGAATAAGAACATGTTATGCAAAATTCTACAGAAAATACATGAACAGCCCAGATAAGAATAAGGCCGTTAGCTTTGTCATCCTACAGTTGAACTAAATCAAAATTAGAGGATGACAGCAGAATTAATTCTAATTAAACAATGTTTTGTTAGCTATGCTTTGTCAAATCCTTTGCAATAGCAGCTGTACATTCCTAAATTGTTTAATTTATTCCCTCATATATTTTGATTAGAAATTAGTAGTACACAAAACCAAGACAACATATGTTGAATGATTTAACAGGTTTAAATGACAGACTTCAAGTATTTGTTATAAAAGGAACTCATCATTGCTGATTTTTTTTCTAGAAATCTTTCCAATATGTTTGCCGTAAACCTATCACTGATCTGGAAGAAAATACAAAGCCATTCCTATTCAGATTGCAGATGACAAAACTGGAAGGAGGACAGATTGGTTACATAAAGCAACACCAGTCATTTGAAAAGGTCTTTGAACAGTATGCATTTTAAAATAGTTAAAAGCAAGGTCAAAAAACTTGGGTGCACTTGTAGAGGGCACTACGGAGTGCTCTGGAAAGGTGAAACTGATTCTTGCTGCCTGACCAATTCAACGAGGAATCACATTTTGGTATCATAGCTAACAGAATTCCAGTAAACTCTCTGCAAGTATAATCACAATAACATCATGGAGGACTTAGGAGGACGGCATAATCTTACCATGAAATATTACTAGAACGTTACGGAGACACAGCTGCCAATTCTGTTGTCCATGTTTTTTTGGAAAAAGACACTCATAAATTACATTATTGCTCAAAATTAAAAAATGAGATCTGAAACCCCCATATTAGCTGAAAATTCCTAAAAGGAAGGGAATATATATATATTTCAATGTCTGTATATGGAATATATTGTCTGAATAAGCAACTAACAGTGTCCAGTGGTTGGAAAGCCAAAGCTAGAGAAAAAATTGAAACCACAAATCAAGAACAAATATTTAATGTTGAACACATTGTTCTGTAGGAAAACTTACATGAAGATACTGTGGACAATCACCTGAAATTTCTTCAAAATGATACTGGAACTTTTAATAGGCAGAAGACAGTTCAAGCACAAGTTATGAGTTTAATGAAGAAATTACTAAATTATGTGTGATGTTTTAAGTTACGTAAAAGACCATTATAACACATTCAATGGACCCTTTAATACCTTAAAATTGGCAAAGTTGGTAGGAAATTTGTTACAGAGTTAGTGAAAGTAGACCGTGCATTTACACAGAAAAGTGTATTGACTATCAGGCAGTACGCATGTGTAAGTATTTGTAAATACAAAACTCACCATCTTCATCAGTTTGTACTACAAGTTCCTGGCTTTCTTTTCGTCCTTCAGGATTCATTAGCACTAATTTGATGCTGACATTTGTGTATGGTGAGAGATTAGTAATTGTGTGCTGGGGATGTGAACTTTCTGTATCCCAGCTTACTTCTTCTCTCACTTGCTCTTGTCCTCCAGCCTGGTAACGGTAATGGACTGTGAGGTTGTATCGATGGCAACGTGTGACATTATATCCAAATGGTTCCCAGCAAATGGTGATTTGTCTAGATTTGATCTCCATAACCTCTAGTTTTCGTGGCCCTCGCATTGGATCTGCAAAATTACCAACATAATTGCAGTATGATTATTTATTTACATGATAGTAGTAACAAGACTAGTAAGTTGTACATTTCCATAAATATGACATATAAGCAGAAACAGAAATTCACTGCTTTATCTCTTGTAGTGCAAATGACAATGAAATGAAAGCATAGACCTCTGAAAAATCAGAGGAAAAAAAACCCAAACAAAATGTGAGAAAGGGACAGAAAAGTGTCTTTGATGAAAAACGAAGAGCAAACAAAGTACCAGAAAGTTTTTATGCTTTAACTCAAAGTGCATGATAGAGTTTAAATGATGCTTATTTTTTTACCTATCTGTTGCTTGCACAAAAAAAATACATCCAATTTTTTTTTTTAGAAATTAATTTGCATTAAGACTTTTAAAGAAAAGCCCTTCACAAAGCAAGTATCTAAAAAGAAAAATTAATTTTTAGGGAAAACTTGCAAATACATGGTGATTTTCTCCCAGGACTGTTTATACAAAGTAAAAGTGTTAAGTGGTTCTTCAGCTATTTCTTATTCAATTGTTTTTAAGTTAGACTGAATGCATTTACTCAATCTCTATTTGGCCAGGACATAAAGTTAATATTTCAATTCCTTTAAAATAGTCCATAGGGTTCTTTCCCCATAAACATTACCTGTTAATAGCTTCCCCCTCCCAGTCTAAAATAAACAGTGCAAATACCTCAGTTTGTCATAGTTGTTTAGCAAAGAATAAAAAGAAACAGACAAGAGGCACATCAGCTGATACAATATTGCATCTGTTTTCCTGGTGATCTCTCAGTTGATAACCAGCCATAAATCACATCTAACAAAATCATACCCAAGAACTTGTGGCTATTTATATATGAAAATCAAAGACTGTCATTGATGTAGTTAAATTTTCTTCATACAGTCATAGAATCAGCTAGGTTGTAAAAGACCATTAAGCTCATCAAGTCCAACCTTTACCCCAGGACTGCCAAGTCCCCCACTAAACCATGCCACTGAGGGCCTCGTCTACATTCAGTCCTACTGGTCCCAGCAATTGAGACAGAAAAGTGAAACCAAACTTCCAGCATATTACAGCAAAACCACTGAGTTGACGCACCCTCCCACGTTTTCAAAACACTGCCATTAATAGAACTATTATACATATTTAGCAATAATCTGGGTTTTTTCATATTGGAGCCCTCAGCAAGATTAAAGACAATGTCTGGTTTTATCCACTACTTCACTAGTTAAATACTTAGAAGAGTTTTAATGAGCTAAAAGCCTCTTACACGTAAACAAATTAATATGCATCTTCCCTCTTTTATGTTTATTAATCAACATGTCTTCACTAGGAATGTTCTAAACAATTTACACAGGATTTCATCTTTCTACTTTTTAATAAAATCCCTGCATGCTTGAAATATTTGTTCAAAGATGTTATTCATCTTAACTCCTTGAAGAAAAGGTGTTAAGAAATTGCTCGTTCTCTCTAACATCTACAAAGCACGGTATTTTTTCTCCTTTCAAATCCTCCAGCTTCTTTTTTCTTTTTCCTTTTTTTTTGTTTTTTTGTTTTTAATTGCCACTACCCAACAGTGTTGATCACCAACATACATAGAATATTTGACAATCTGTGACAAAATGGCAATGTAAAACAAATTCAATAACAGATCTAATCCTAGTCTCCTTTCCAGTGACTGACTGGTGAAAATATACTTACCAAGGATAAACACTATAGAACCATTTACCTGCTTCCACATACAGATACCCTAGCTAAGAATCCTGGTGTTTGAGACATTTTCTACTGCTACAACAATTAAGATTAATGAGGGCAAACCTCAAAGACTAGCAAGTCCTAGGAGTTTCATGTCTTCTTTAAGCATTTACTTCTGCATAATTCAGGCATAAATAAAATGAAAAAAAAATAGAAGGAAACTAATTTTTTATTTTGTTTCCTGTCAGCTTCTAAGCATTCCTTCATGTAGGTGAGACTGTGAATAGCAAAGAATATTTGGTGGGTATTGTGTAACTGTACTGCTATGTGATTGGGCTAAATAGGACTAGAAAATCAACAAAATCGGGGTGACCCTGACATACAACATTAAGCAGCTGAACAAAGCTCCTAGCTGCAAGAACATGGAACAGCCTGCTTACTTCCAGAGTAGGCACATCAGAAAATTCACAGAGGAGCTGAGAAATCATTTTATTAGAGACATAAAACTAATTTGTAACATTTTAAAACTGTAACTGAGTGTTTCTAAGCTGTGCAAAAAAAAAAAGTTAATGGATCAAAACCTATCCCAGATTTTTGCCCAGGATGAAGATATTCTTATGTCATGTCACCTTAACAAAAAGTATGTTAGCCCTCTAGTTAAATCTTGCAGTCATTGCTATGAGAATGACAGATACATTTTTACTTCTAACAAAACAGACCAGGGAAAAAAGAAATTAGATTGTAAAGATGGAGACAATACAGCTTTTCTTGATATTCACAGGATAAAGCTCATCAGACACAGGAAATACCCTGGTTGCTTTGGTTCCTGTCTTGCTTCTGTAATCTGTAGTATCAGAAAACTATGCAGCTCATACCTGTTTTTCTTACCATTCATTAAGAGTTTATGGAACTGATAGGGCCCTAATGACCCCTTCATGGGGTAAGTGTAGTGTGTCAACAACTCAATGACAGCATGGAGTGGAAAGAAAGGGAGAGTTAGAATATAAAAAGAACCCTCTGGGACACAGCAGAGGAAGTCATTAAAGCAAGTCCCTCTATGAAGCATCAGGTGGGATAACTGCTGGTTTATGCGGGATGTCCACTCAGAAAGTAAGGTTGAATATTCCAAAGAGGTTTGTCCATGAAAGAGCATCTGAAGATACAGGCCTGTACAAATAATCTATTTTGTGTTCTCAACGTCACTTTTAAATTCTCAGAATGGACATGGTTAGTGGAACAGATGATGCTTTATTATTTCTTTCATCAAATAAACATAATTCCTGAAGTACCACTACCTTATTCTGTTTATTTTAGTTTTCTTTCCAATACTACACTTCTTTGATTTATCAGATGTGACTTCATTACAGATCTGAGGATATCAGTTCCCATCTGCTCTATATAGCTGAGTTCTTAGTCAGATGTAATTTTTGGTTAAGATCAGTTAATTCATACAGTAAACAGGAAAGAGATGAAGGGGAATACTTCTACTTTTAACAAAAAATAAAAGCTAATGTAACAATGGAATTTTTGGATTAAAAACCACTGTGGCTCAAAACAGCCATGAAAAATAGCAGTTACTGCAACAAAAGATAGAAGTTTCCATTTGATCAAGTTAGCAGTGAGCTTCTCTGGAGGTATCAGTGTATACGTGGGGAAAGAAAATTGTTACACAACACAAAATAAATGACAGCTAATGACTATGTTTTAAAAGGGGAAGCTGAATCAATTACCACAGCATACTGACTTCATTTATCTGATTTTATTTTCTACCAGATCTTTGTATCACTTTCCCTTGGTGAGTTCCCAACTTTAAGTGAAAAGGTAAGCATTCGACAGAGATGCTGCTGTTGTGCTCACGAGACTTGCACTAGCTATTCATGTAATACTTGAAGACTGTTATCCTAGCAATGGTCTGCTGTTGTTACCTTGCATCAAGTAAGGTAAGGGACAAAGAGAAGTGTCATTTCACAGTGCTAATCACAACTGAAATCACATTTTTAAGTGCAGAAAATTAATACGTCACACCATTTATACTGTATGCAACATACACACCTGTCCTGGGTTCAGCTACAGCAGTCATTTTGTCTCCTTCTTAGTAGCTGGTGCAGTGCTGTGTTTTTGACTTTCAGTCTGGGAACAACGCTGATAACACCGATGTTTTTAGTTGTTGCTCAGTAATGTTTACTCTGACCAAGGACTTTCTCAGTCTCATGCTTTGCCAGAGAGGAGGGGAAGCCAGGAGGAAGCAGAGGCAGGACACCTGACCCAACCTGGCCAAAGGGGTATTCCATACCACAGCACGTCATGCCCAGTATATAAACTGGGGGGAGTTACCCGGAAGGCCAGATCGCTGCTCGGGTCGGGCTGGGTATCGGTCGGCGGGTGGTGAGCGGTTGTGTCCTTTTCCCTTGTTATTCCTCTTATCATTATTACTGGTAGCAGTAGTGGTTTGTATTATACCTTAGTTACTGGAGAGCTGTTATCTCAACTCGTGGGAGTTACATTCCTTCGATTCTCCTCCCCATCCCTCCGGGAGCGGGGGGAGGAAGGAAAAGGGGGGGAGTGAGCGAGCGGCTGCGTGGTTCCAAGGTGCCGGCTGGGCTTGAACCACGACAACACCTCATACCACAACAGCTATTTGCTGAACCTTTGTTTCTTCCTCACTCGGGAAAGGCCCTCCTTGCAGAGAGGCTATAGAGCCAGACCTCCCAACTCACTTGGGAGTTCTCTAGATGAACTGAGTCTCCGTCACTCCTCAATATCCCAGCTATTTTCTTGTGCCTCACTGGTAAAATCATGCAGCAAATGGGGAATATGAAGCCTACCAAATCCTAAGAGAAAAGATTTTCCTCCCAAAGGAGCGTACTGCCTGTCATGCCTGAAACTTAGCCAGGTAGTTTTTACTAATTCCCCTGCTGGCACCTGCAGCATTTTTCATACTGTTCTGCCAGCTTCAGCAGGGTATCAAGCAGTGAATTCTGACAGCTGCAGCTCTGACCTGAGGGACCAGCAAGCCTGGTTCTAGCCCCTGGCACTTTAGCATCCCATTTAATCGGTGATCTTGGCTCCTTCTCTGGTCCCCTCTGTTTTCCTGAGAATATGGAGAAGAGGCTGACAGACAGGATCAATTTCCATTGCAGCTGCAATTCACAGCTCATTTCTCTGGAACTTCACACTTTACCTCTTGCCACAAGTACAATGCTTTTTCAGAAACTCAATTTCAGAATCACAGAGACATTTACGTGTATTTTTAGCATCCTGACATTGATCATCAAAACTTGGGTTTAGCATGAAAACACAGTCTTG